GAGATAGAGGATTGGAGGGCCCCGATCTTGGAGGAACTGAGAGAAGGGACTATGAAGGTGGTCAGGAGGTTTTTCGAGCATGGAGCTATCCTTTACAAGCGGTCATATGGAGGACCACATCTACGCTGTGTCACCAGGGAAGAAGGTCGATATGTGCTGAGGGAGATGCATGAAGGTTGCTCCAGCGATCACAGTAAATCGGGGGCCTTTGTCGCAAGGATCCTAAGAGCAGGTTATTTCTGGCCGACAATGAGAGAAGATGTCAAAGCGATGGTAAAAAAGTGCTTGCAGTGCCAGAAACACGGTCCCTTGATCCATCAACCGGCTGAAGCGATGACAACAATGAGTGCCCCTATACCCTTCGCTCAATGGGGCGTCGATCTGGTGGGGCCAATGTCGCAGGGAACGGGACAAAGAAAATTCCTGATAGTGGCGGTTGATTATTTCACGAAATGGGTGGAGGCTGAGCCCTTGGCGAAGATCACAGAAGAGAAAGTAATCAAATTCCTATATAGCAACATTTGCTGCCGTTTTGGTGTACCCAAGGTGTTGATTTCTGACAACGGCACCCAATTCAATGGTAGACGGATCCGAGCATGGTGTGAAGATATGAGAATCGAGCAGCATTTCGCCTCGGTAGCTCATCCGCAAGCCAACGGCCAGGTCGAGGTAACCAATCGGATCATATTGAACGGGCTGAAAACAAAGTTGGAAAAGGCCTCGGGAGCATGGGTCGATGAGTTGAACTCTGTGTGCTGGGCGTATCGTACGACCCCTCGGTCGACCACCGGAGAAACCCCGTTCAGCTTAGCTTACGGAATGGAGGCATTACTGCCGGTCGAGATTGAGATTCCATCCCAGAGGTTGAGCGCATACAATACAGAACAGAATGAAGACTTGATGATAGCGACTTTAGACACTATCGAGGAACTACAAGGGAAGGCCGCAATCAGGGTGGAGGCGTACAAGCAGAGGATGCGCGCGGCTCACGACAAGAAAGTGAAGATTCGCAGACTTCAAGTCGGCGATCTAGTTTGGAAACGTGTCGATGTACTCAAGCACGTGGGAAAGCTGGAGCCGAACTGGGAAGGACCATACCTGGTCGAGCGAGTGCACGCGGGAGGAGCGTACTCGCTTAAGGATGCTGAAGGCCGGTCACATGCCAGGTCATGGAACATAGCTAATCTGAAAAAATATTATGTTTGAAAGTTTTTTTTTTTTGCATATGTTATTATTTCTGTACGACGTCTAAGAAAAGTGAACAAGAATGTAAATCGAAAAATTTATCAAGAGGCAATGAAATTCAGTGATCTTTCTGGTTTTATCTATTTTATCGTACATTTTCTTATGCTGGGAATGTTGCTACAATTGAATGACAGGATGTATGTGGTATGGTTTGATCTAGAAGTCGCTTGTTTAGAACATTCCAGGGGTGGCAGGTTGGTCGAAGACCTTCTGTTTAGAACATTCCTCGGGGTGGGCAAGTGTGAAGACCAAAACCCACCATGACTAATTCGTGAAAATCGCAACAAGAAAATCTGATAGGAACGACCTAGTCCGCGAAGAAGAAGACCGAGAAGATTTTGAGCGATTTAACTTCTTTTCCTTGGGCCAAGTCTCAAATAATTAAATGGGTTACCAAAAATTATGATATTTGGGCCTAAGTAGGAATTGGGGGGCATCCCCCCCCCCCCATAACTCAATTGCTGAACATTAAAAGAGCTAGGTACGAGCGGGTTTCGGGCTCGGCTATGACTTTAGTCAAATACGAGGCTCAGTTCGATCGCTGCGATAAATAAAATAAAACCGAGAAAATTATTATATATATAGTACATTTTATTTAAATATAATACACATAATATTATTTAGTAATACACATTAATCACATTTAACCAATTAGACACATTAGACAATTATAATATAATAATAATAATAATAATAATAATAATAATAATAATAATAATAATAATAATAATAATAATAATAATAAAATAACAATTAATGGGAATTAGACATTTAGCAATAATATTTATACTAACAACAGCAATAATCAAAAAGGCAAATTGGATAATAATAATAATAATAATAATAATAATAATAATAATAATAATAATAATAATAATAATAATAATA